CAAAAAACATTATTTCCTAGTATGTAGACAACGCCATGCAGGCTCAGTCTTGAAAATACTGTATAACAGTCCTCGTAGTGCCCATTGCAAGAGCCTGTCCACTTAAGTCAGAGAGAGGATATGAGCCGGGAAAGTTCCTTGTTTGGACTCTGATCCCCAGAATTTCCATTATAACTAGTGGACATGTTGACTCGAGGGATTCCAGGAGTCATAACTTTAAACCAGTTTGGACTCTGATCCCCAGAATTTCCATTATAGCCAGTGTCCATGTTGGTTCAAGGGATTCCAAGAGTCATAACCTTAAACCAGTGGTTCCCCATCTTGGGTCTCCAGATGTTCTTGGACTGCAACTCCCAGAAATCCTAGCCAGCACAGCTAGCGGCGTAAGGCTTCTGGGAATTTTAGTCCAAGAACATCTGAGGATTCATGATTGGGAACCATGATCTCAAACAGTAACTCTTCCATCTCTGGAGGGGGATGTGGCTCATTTTTGAGTCACGCACCCCACACACTGAAGAGCAGTTAAGTGAAGGTATGGCTTCATCGTTTTGATTTTATTAGATCAATAGATTTGAAGGTTGAAGTAGGACAATGAAATAATTTGAGTCTGGCTCTCGTGTCATTTTCAAGCCAGACACATTCCCTCTAGTTAATATTGTATCAAACCCATTAAAGCCTTTATTAGTCTCTTTGCATTGACATTGTTTTAATGCCACATTTGTTAAAGTCTTAATTGCCATGATCATTTTGAGGGCGACCTTGAGGAAGATCTAAACATGCAAGGAAGGCAGGCAGACCGTGCAAGCTATTCTTAAATAATAAACTAACTGGAGTCATTGGTGGTGAGTGACTTTCCCCGAAAAAAACATTTCGGTTCCACTAGAAAGAAATAACTTAATATGGAAAAAATTAGTTCTTAAAGCCAAGACCAGTTCAAACCAGGGCAGGAAAGTCACATGGGACACCCTTCCTAAACTAATCACCTGTTACTGTAAGACACCGTCTACCACCCAGGCCTTAGACAAACCAGTAAAGCAAGATTAGGGAAGTGTTGGCCTTCCAGATGTTTTGGCCCACAGCATCCATTAGCCTTAAACTAGCACGGCCCGAAAGAAAGGATTATGGAGATTATGGGCCCAACACATCTGGAGGGCCAAATCTGACCCAGCTCTGTCGCATTGTATGTTATATTGATTGATGCCCACTTTTCTGGTTTCTGCTCCTGGCCGGATTGCTGTTGTGTATCTCTCCACAAACTCCTTCCTTCCGAACTTTTGTAAACCCCTTTGTTTTTTAGAGTGAATTCCTGAGGTTGTTCTCTGGAAAGAACATTCTTTGGGATTTAGCATCCCTTTCCAGAAGTTAAGCATCTGAGTCGATGAAGAAGGACTACCCCTGTCTCTGGTGCACATCCTTGTAGGCATAGAGAGTCAAATATTAAACGCAATGAAGTGCCAACACAGCTATTTCACATCCCGCACCAGCAGAATTCGTAGCTTTTTGGGCTATACCTTCCAGCATTTTCTACCTGCCCTGGAGGATACTGGGAGTGGTGCTGCAAAAACTGGCCTTATATATTTTGAGCACTGTGACTATTATGTATTTCCCACCCCAAATAATTTAGTTAATAACCAGCGCAAACAACCCCTTTACTTTAAATCAGTGGGAAGACTGAGAAAAAGCACCAACTTTGTCATCTCTTATTGCCTCTCCCTCCAACCATCGGACAACACTCTGTGCTAGTTTACTCTCTAATCTAATCTACTCTCTAATCCATTCCCCTCGACCAGCATATGGCACTCGCCGTGACAGCCAGGACAAAAATTACTGCAACTCAAGGACTCCGTGATTTACAGTATTTATTACTCCAAATAAGCTGAGAGAATCTGCCAAAAGCATTCTGAGCTAAGTGAAAATGGGACAAACTATCATTTCAGGCAACTGCCTTTCACAGTTGATAAATCACTGTGATTTAAAGGACCTGTTTTTAACAACCGTTGATGGCTCTCTAATTAGCGTTGTTGCTACAGAATCATTTCAATTTTTTTATTTACTTGGAGATACATATATATATTGCCGACCTGGCATATTACCCTTGCATATTTCAGTGGCAGCAACATTTCCATCTACCATAACCATGCAACTGTTTCACAATTCATTTTAATTCTCCCCCTAATTCTCATAATATATCTTAAGCCATAATTAATGGTATTGCCACCCACACGTTAGTCCAGTGGAAGAGATTTTGGTATCATAACCCTATGCATACATACTTGGGTATTTCAGTAACTTTCTTAAAGTGGGGGGTGAGAGAGAACCGAGAATCAGACAGCAGCTTTTAGAGTTTAGACCAGTGCAGACTCAATGTTCTTGATCTCTTAAACATGGCTAAGAAAACAGGAATATTAAAGCATCCTCATCCAACTATTCCATTTTTCAGGTTACCCACACAATCCTATTTTAGCACCCTTAATCCTAAAGACAGTTTGCATTTCTATTAAGAGATATGATGGAGGTGAACTTGCCATTGTGGGTCTGACCCAGCGGCTGCAATTAATCACCCTAGATCTGGTTGATCACCGTAGATCTATCACCATAGATCTGGAAGTTGAGTCATGGCAATTGGACTTCTTCCTTATTCGGTCGAAACGTTTTGCTACTCGTCCTAGTAGTGTCTTCAGTCACCACAGATGTTAACGCACCACCATGATTACACTGGAACAGAAATTAATCCATACGTTATGAAAAAGCAAGAGAGAAGGGTGAAATAGCACCACCATGATTACACTGGAACAGAAATGAATCCATACGTTATGAAAAAGCAAGACAGAAGGATGAAATAAACAACAACAGGGGCATTCTCAAATTCCTAATCACGGTTACAAGGTGGGGAACATTGCACCTTTCCTCAACCTGCTGTGGAAAGAGGTAATGGAAGGGGGAGGGAAATTATTGGAGAAATCTGAATTAGCCCCATAATTGTAGTGGGGTTTGTGAGCAAAACACCTGCAGGGCGTAGTGGCCTCTGGTCTCCAAGGACCCATGTTTAAAGTGTCCGCTGGTCTGAAGCATTATTTAAAAGCTGTTGAAACTGTGAGGTTTCAATTCACTATAAAAGGGGGGAAGAAAAAAAAATTCTGAAAAACCATTTTCTTACTGTATATATTAGCCTCCTTCTCCTGTATATTCTAAAGATATAACCTTATATTTGGCAAGTGTTTCTTGTGCTATTTTATCACGTGATCTGTTTATAAAAATATATATTAAAAACATTTTAAAAATACAGAACGCCTGGGCTGTTTTTGAACTTTTTTCATTACAGGGAAATGTAAAGAATTTTTTTGATGATTTTTGTGTTCCAGGGTCCAAAACAGCTAACAAATGCAGTGCTACCTTGCAAGTTCAGTTCAGAAAATAACCTACAACGATGCCATGGAAAATCTGCATGTTTGGGCCATTCCATGTTATAATGCACATATGATTTGCGCATTATTGCCTCCGGAGAATTTTGTGATATATAGGGCCTACTTTCTCTTGATATTATTAGAGGGCGTAACACGGATCTGCCCCAAAAGCGACGGGTCTTCCTTTCAATATTAAGCTACCACGTTGGAGATTTCTGTCACCTACAGGGCATGCGGCAGGTAAGCATTGCTGCTTCCCAAACTTGTCCCCAGATGCTCTTGAACTAAATCTCAAAGAAGCCTTCATTAGTTGTGTTGGCCAAGATTTCTGGGTACATAGTTTCTATGGACGGAAAAGAGCAGATACGGATTAAATGGTTTTCAATGCATTCCTATGGGAAATGCAGATTCAACATAAGAACTTTTCAACTTGAGAACCACCTTCCAATACGGATTAAGTTCTTAAGTAGAGACCCCACTGTATTAGAGTCCAAGGACATCCAAGTTTGGGAACCACTGATTATCCGTCTTCCACGTTCTACCAATATGAGGGGCAAGAAGAATCTGGAAGAACAGGGGTCAACCCACAGACCACGTCTTCTGCAATTTGCAATCTGTCTTCCTTTTTGGCAACACCGTGATTGCATAGGACAATCAAGGTGGAGATCTCTCGGCCGCCTCAGAGGGCACCCAGGTTTTTAATTCACGTCTTCTGCAATTTGCAATCTGTCTTCTTTTTTGGCAACACTGTGATTGCATAGGACAATCAAGCTGGAGATCTCTCAGAGGGCACCCAGGTTTTTAATTGGCAAATGTAAAGAAAATATGGCAAAAAGAAGATCCTTTGGCAAAGGGATTGGGAAATGAAAATTTTTAAAAAAACACAGAGCAACCTGCAAAAGAACAGGTTATGATACTTATTGTTGCCTGAGCGACAACGGTAACTATCATAACTAAATTGGGCATCCATTATAAGCGACAACCCCAGAGTGGAGAGAAGGCAATGTCCGCATGGGATTATCCTACTGTTTTAAACAGAAAATTGGGATGATCCAGCCTGTTTATTCTAGGAATTTGGTTAGAGGAGATGGGCATGCCACATTTCGAGTTTTAATCCAGGGATTTAAAATGGACATACATGCCAAACATTTATGAAGTATAAATCTGTGCTTAATTGCGGCTGGGATCCCTGTAAAACCCATGGTTAGAGGAAAACGGATATCCTCAGGCTGAATATAGATGGCATGACTTTAGGTCTGAAAAGAGGAACGTGTGTTTCATCCACAAGGGAGATGTTTCGATGGCCAGGCCTCTGTATTTTATTAGTTTTTTCCGGAAACGTGTTGCTGGTGGTGGAGGTGAGGATGATTACGAGGAGGACTACAACACCCAGAATCCCCCGGGGGCCCTCAGGTCTTGTCCCCCCAGGAGAAGAAAAGAAGCCGCTCGGGCGGCGGGTTCGGCTCGGAGGGCT